TTGCGGGTGCTGAGGGTAAGAGTTTGGAGTAACATGGGTCGTGTCTACCTGAAACTGTGGGCCTTGAAAAGTGAAAACTGAAGGGTCGAAGCATGGCCTAGGCACTGTTGGTTGTGCCATAGTGGAAACTGGTGGTTCGATGAATAATGTAGGGGGTACCCCTGAAAACAGTGCCTCGGGGCGAACCTCAGAAGGTGTACCAGTAAACTTGGTTGATATAATAGGGTACCCAAATAGGATGAATGGGTTGGTCACCGGGATGGGAATGTTGGTGGTTCCACCCGTCTTGGGGAGTAATTCAGGAAATCCGGTGATTGTACTGGTTGGTTCTCTGCTGTTGGACCAAGCGTCCCACATCTCTAACATACGGACTTGCAACCTCCTATTTTCTTTAGCGGCTGCTAATTCTGGCTATGGAATAGTCGATACTCGGGCTTTCCTCAGGATCAATAATGGGTAAATGACTTTCGAAGGCCATAGGAACAATGCCTTTGGATCTTGTAAAATGAGGATGGAAGCCAGATTACCACAAAATCAACCACCTAAACAGGAACTATATTATTTGCACACACAACAACCTGGTTAGTTTGAGATATTTAACAGTTAGGAAATTACATATTGGGGATGCAATGCACCTGAACAGTTAAACGTTTCTAAATATTTTTGCAACGGCTGTGTGTTTCATCTCGGCTTTGCTATCGTTTTTCTCAAATTTCAAATCCTGATTTCTTTCCCTTCTATTTTTGTTGTTTTTCGCTCTTTTCTTTCTTTTTCCTTTTTGTCACTCAATTTTCTTTCTCTCCTTTTCTCCTTTTTCCTTTATTATTTTTTTTAATTTTTATTTTATAGTTATGATAGAATCCTATGGGGATTGCCTATGTATCATGATGTTGCATGAATCAGATCTCGCATAGTTAGGGAAGATTGAGAATGGAGTAAATAAAGCTAACTCTTTTTTTTTAATTTTCGAAAGAAAGACTTTCAAAGATGAAGGGAAATATTTTTGAATATTGGTCTTGATTTTTCTTTTTCCTTTTTTAAAAAATTTTTTCGAAAGAAGACTTCTAAAGAAGACAGAAATATTTTTTTTTATTACTGATATTGTTTTTTTTTTGAATTTTTGGGAGAGAGACTTCTTAAAAGCAAAAGTAGAAAATATCTTTTTTGGATTTTTGATTTTTGTTTTTTGAATATTTTGGAAAAAGACTTCTAAAATGGTGAAAAATATTTATTTGATTCGTTTTCTTTTTTCGAATGAAAGACTTATACAAATAAAATACTTTCTGGGTTTAAAATTTTTTTTCATTTGGGATTTTCTAAGGAAATACTTTTAAAGAAGAAATTAAAGGAAAATATTTTTTTGATTTTTGAAATTGGGGCCGGAACCGATGAGGTTTACCTGCGTATCTTACATCCAGTGAGAATCATACCCGCGTAGTTCGTTCAGTTTTGACATAACCGGGAAAACATGATATTGACTTATTCTGAAATTCATTCTCTTTTTTTATTTTTCGAAAATTTTTGGCTGAGTTTCGAGGCATTTCAAATACCGAGGTTTTCAAAATCGGGTGAATTTTTTAGCTTACCTCACTCTTGGTTTTTGTTTATTTTCTTTCCTTAGCCGGTCAACAAGCAAGCCGAAACAAACAAATGCGCAAGTAGCACGTAGGATGCATCAGGATGGTCTTTTATTTCGGGTACATCTGTCCTAGACAGACCGAACCCCTGTGTTGAGTCCCCAAAGTGAAAGACACATGATGCAAAAAAAAAAGTTCCTACTAGGGATCCGGCATGAGGCTATATTATTCTAGGTTTAAACCTGCGGGTGTGTTCTAGACATGGCTTACCCAAGCAGGCAACTTGATCCAAGGTGGGGGCAACGTACCGGGAGCACGAAAGTCTATCCGGCCTAGTGGCTGATCCATCCTTGTTCTATTTGGTGCGACCTCTAATAGAAAAGTGGGCCATGCGTACGTTTGCACCATATTTTTAGAAGACTCAGAAGGGAGGCATAAGGAAGACAGTTTTTATACATTTCAAAATATCAAAGCGGTGAAAGATCGACAATTAGCACGGTAGGCCCACAAATATAGTAATATCAATAATCAATAAAGCCAAGTAAAAATCACATTAACAAGCTCGAATTCTGAACCTTGAACAGAAGATTCTAGGTTTGTTCCCCAGCAGAGACGCCAGAGCTGTCACACCTGCTTTTTCCTGAGGAATAGGGAGTTTTTCCATTTTAAGTGACATTATTCGAATTGGAATTTTTTTATTTATTTAAGAGTCGCCACTCGAAATTATTTACTTACGGTGTTCCGAGTCAGCATTTATTTTAAAATCTCAAATCGAGGAAATTTGACTTAATTTAAAAGTCTGCAAATAAGAAGACCGGGTAAAAAATTCTGTTAACCCGAGAGAATGTGTTAGGTATTCCCGAGTTTCGTGATTTTAGCACGGACGTTTTTTATCAAACTTGGCTTGATGATTTTCTTAATTTCTTATTTTATAACCTATGTACGTTTTTTTACCTTTTACCACTTTTAATTGCTTGATTATTCGTAATTAAGGAATTATCTTGAAACGAATCATGCGTACGTGTATTCGTTTTGTTTGGTGGGTTAAGAATCATCTCACGCGTACGTGTATACAATTAATAACACATTAATATTTAAAATTGTTCGGCCATAGTCGTGCGAACGCGTACCTGGATTTATTTTGAAAAAAAATAATTGTGTGAATCTTTTTTTATTTGGGGAGCTTAAAATTATGTCACGCGTATATGTACACAATTTATTATGCTTTATCAATTTAAGATTGTTTTTCCAAAGTCGCGTGATCGCGTACCTTGATTTATTTTGGAAATCACAATTATGTCACGCGAACGTGTACATAATCACGATAATAATTTTAAAATGCGCCTAAAGCATTCTACACGTGTTCATTATTCTTCCTAAACTTTGAGATTGCGAAGACCATGAGTTATGGAATTTTGTGGAAAGATGTTATAAATTTAGCTATTGGACTAAGTGTAATAAGTACTCAGTTATGAAAGAAATGGGCCTGACTTTGATTTATTAACTTTGGACAAGCTCTCATGCAAACCTCAAGGCCCACATCGTTATTAATGTTAGCCAAACCCTCACAGATCTGATAGTAGCAGAATCATCATCAAAGAAATTTCATTTTTTAATGCAATTAAATTATTAAGCACATAGCCACTTAAATTTTAAAAACCTATTAATTCGGAACATCAATGTAGCATTAGGATCTTAAACATAACAAATGAATATCAATTTTACTCATGATAATTCACCCGAAACAGGATAAGAACATAATGAATTCAATTGACAACGGATCCAAAACGTGAAACTTCTTAAGGAAACTATTCACGATATTTTCAAGCCAAAAAAAATAGAAAAGGGCCAAAGAAACAGATCCTCTAAGTATCCCTATATATTATTCCCAACAAACAGTCAGATTAATTTCGAAAAAAGAAAAATCATATACTTGTGATGATTTGGTTTTAAACAAACGAAACCGGCTAATTTTTTGCAAATATGTCTGCTCTAAACTTTTTACTTGAGGAATTTTCTTTTAATTAAACTAAACTAAAAGAAACAAAGAATCAAATTTTAACCAATCATCATACCATATCATTGCAATTTTAGCAAATTTATAGCACATGGAAATCAAAACAACCATTACATTTCAAGATCGAGATAAATACCTCTAAACAGCAGTAGAGATAAACTTGAATAACCAAATAAAAGCGAATGGAAAGTTGGAGCTCAGCGGAAGTAGAAACATCAAATTCAACCACACTTGAATACCAAAAGAATGCATATGAACCCAGAAATGAAGCAACCGACCATATACTTGAGCAAACACAGAAATCCTTTTTCTATCTCATTTCCCTTGTGTTTTTTTCGAAAATTTTTTGTTTCTAAATTTCTGAGATCTTTCATAGTAGCTAGGGTTTTTTTTTAGAGGGGAGGGGGGATTTCATTTGGAGAGGAAGGGAATCTGGGGCGACTGACTTTGGTTGAGGGTGGAGGCTACTCCTACTTAGAGTGGAGGAGTTGGTGGTCGCCGGAGATGACTGGTGTGAGGTGAGAGAAATGGAAGAAGCGGCTCCTAGTCTTCTTTCAAGAGAGGGCGTTAGGGTTTTTGGAAGGGGAGGGTTTGGTCTCTCATGTGTCTTCAGACTTCAGGGGGAGAGGCGACGTTTTTGGTTTTTCTATAGGGGGGATCTAATTTAGATCTAGTCTCCTAGGGTTTTTGGGAAGGTGGGGTTTTTAAATAGGAGGATGGGCCGGTCCGGGTCTGGGCTGGAGCAAGGTTATGGGGCGGATTCAGTGTGGGTTTGGGCTGCTATTTTGGGCAGTTAGGCTATTGATTTTGCTTGGTCTAGTTAGGAATATCAACAACCCAATCCTTCTTTTGTTTTAATTGCTAAATCAACCACTTTAGATAACACACCTAAATTGAAACTAAATTTTCAAAATTAGCCCGTTAATTATCACTTAACCAATTATTTAACTAAAAATGCATGTACAATGACTAACATATTTTTTTTGTTATGATTTTTCATGTATTACTTCTACAATTAATTCTTAAAAATACTATTAAAACCTAAAATGACATGGAATGAAGATTTGAAAATTTTCTATGGTTTTAAAACACTTTCAAACATGCATGAAGAATGCTAACAAATGATAGAAGAATTCCTAAAAGTTTATGAAAAAATTAAAAACTCTTTTGGAATATATTTTTAGGAGTAATTTTCTATGTGGGAAAAACCTTAGGTGCTCACATCCCCGCATCGGCGTCGTCTCTTCTTTCTTCTTCTGTTTTGTCTGGTTGCAGCCGAACCCCTCCCCTATGCTTCTTTTCTTCTTCTTTCTTCTTTATTTCTTCTTTTTCTGTCCACTGTGTCTTTTCCCCGTTGCTGTTCTCCGGCGACATCAATTGGGTCACCACCAGATCCATGTTCACCAATGGCGATGGTGGCAGCCATGCATTCCTTTATATTTATTGGTCTCGTGGTATGTTTTGTGTGTTGCATGTAGCATTTTAGTGGCCGTTTGGTGGCAGGAGGGAAGCGCACACGCAAAAGCAGCAAAGCAATTCAGTTAGTAGGAACAAGGGTAGTGCATCGGGTTTCTCAGCATACTGAATACAACAAGTCGAAAGTCCATGTGATATTTAAGGGAATTGGTACCTCCCGTCTCCTGTTTCTCTTTCTCATTTGGTAGTTAATTTGTTGTCGTAGTAGTTCGTAACTAGTCTAGTCGTTCTAGTAGGGGTTGTAGTTACTATTTATTCCCTTCGAGTTTAGACCTTTGCTTGATTTGTGTTGGCATTTTTTCTTTCTATACTTTTGTAACTATAGAGGATGTGGCTTGTAATGGCAGAGTAGGGTCATGTCCCGGGGGAGG